AAGGCCCAAAAAATTCTCATTTCCCTCTTCCCATTCTCTCTATTCTCTCCCTCCCCCTCTCCCTTCTCTCCTTCCTTTTTATTACCCAACATTCGAATATTTAAAAAAAATGAGAGACAATCTTCTCTTCTTCATCCTCCTCATCCCTTCTTCATTCTCTTTTTCTCTACCTTTTTATATCATGTTTTTCATCATTTGCACAAAATTAGCTTATTCATCTTATTCCATCTATTTTTATTAATTTTTTATTTTTTTTCAAATTACATGTAAATTTATCACACATACAACTACATCATTCATTTGGATATATATAGACAATTAAATTTTTTGTTCACCAAGACAATTGAAATTGATCACACTAACAACTAAAGTTGATCACATAGACAACTATTGTCTGTGAGATGCATAACTATTGTCTGTGTGGTAAATATTGTCTGTGCACACAACAAATAATTGTTTGTGTAACATGAAAATATCGTTTGTGAACACAAGCACTGCACATATATTGATTGATTTGCAAGGTAGTGTCAGTGTCAAGCGGCTGTCAGTCTTCTTTTAACAAAAAAGTAAATGTCTGTGGACACAGACAAAAGTTATCTGTGTACACAGACAACTCTTGTCTGTGTCCACAGACAACTCTTGTCTGTGTCCATAGACAACTCCGTACCAATTGTCTGTGACCGACATTTTGTGTGCAAGTTATGTACAACTGATGTACCCCAATCATTTTTGTGTTTTTAATCATCTTAGATAAACTTATAGGTATCCGATTTGACAGAAAAGGAGTTTTTTAAGGATTAATGATAATTAATTAAATAATTACGGAATTAATTAATGTTAGGTTAAAACTATTTACCAATATACTGCTGGGCTTAATTCTAGTAGGGGAAAGTCGCCAAACCGGATGGCGACTTATAAGTTGCCAAACCGTTTGGCAACTTTGCCCTTTAATGAACTGCTGTGTGGACCTTATAAGACAGAAAAAACGATTGAAGCCAACAAAAGAGCTCTGACGAAGAACGATTGCAGCACCCCACCCCGGCGACTACAGCTACTAGGAGGCCATTCCACCTACCAAATACACTCTTCAATCATCTTCTTCAACCTCTAGGTACATCAAATCACCAATTTTATCTCATTTTTGAACTTAGGGTTTAAAGTGATAATTTTCGAATTTGTTAATTATGAATTGATTTGTGAAATGATTTGTTGTGAAATGTAAATATGTATGAAATGTTGAATTTTAATGTAATATTAAGTGTTGAATATGTAATATTAAGTGTTATATTGTTGAATGATTTGTAAGTGAAAAACTTATTAATTTGCCTTTGTTAAGTGTTGTATATGTAATATGATTTTCTGAAATATGAGAGTTTTGAAATGTGTTTTATATCTATGGATTGTTGAATTTGGGTGTATAAAGTTAGTATATTAATGTGTATTCATCCATTATCGTTATGTATTGTTATTTGAATATGAATTTCTCCAACTTCCCAATTGTGTGTCATTGGGGAGGTCGACTTTGTAAGTATTTAATTATTAAATTCTGCAACTCATAGTAATGTGAATTATAAAATAATGATTTCAAATTATTTATTAATTACTGACTAACTACCTTTTCATTTTTTGTAGGCATTATGGAGGTGTTAGCGGATCCAGGGCTGATTGATGACCAAGACCATGACCAAAACGATAAAGTGTTGAGAAATTCAGTCCCAATTAAGGATCTAATATCATCTAAACATGATAAAATTCATATAATCAAACAATAAGAACACTAACCGGTTGAGGAGAAACCAAACATTGATGGCAAAGATGATGAAGCCATGATGTCTTTGGATTCTCTAAGGATACAAGCGGATTTCGATGGATTAAACGATCTTCCTTGGGTCTCCTAATATAGGTGTTCTTGAGACCTTTTGGGAAGAAACGTGCCCGGTCGTTTTAGTCGTGAGAATGGAACGAGCCTTATATCTTGTATCAAAGAGAAACCCCTTTGGTCCCATACGTATTATTTAATGTTAAAACATACCCATCATATGTTAACTATACATAAATACAGGGACCAAATCTGTCATATGGCAAATTTAATTGTAAGACATAAATGTCCCCAATATATATTAAATTTTATAAATGGTCCAAGGGCACTTAAATGGAATATTTTACAACATTCTCCCACTTGACCTTGAGATCATTTATACATAAGTTAAAGTAAGTTTTGGCCAAGAAAATTTCATCTTACTCCATAATAATATCAAAGCAAACAAATACAGTCTAGCAGGTCAATATAACCCGGGACCCCCATTAATCATACTTTGACACTTCATAAAGAGTATAAGGATTAATATAAGCCAAATGACATTAAACTTAGGGTATTATGTTTGTCTATTAAATAACTTTGTGTGCACAGTAAAGAATAGACAAAACATACTTAAGGAGGAATTCTAAATCAAGTACTTGAAATTAATACACAAGATAGCTAATCAGGCACTGCGCTATAATTATCTAAACAGGATCTTTGATCAAGCCCATATTAGTGACATGTCTTTGAAAAATACTGAGCGGCAGTCCTTTGGTGAGAGGATCTGCTAGCATATCATTTGTGCTGATGTGTACGATACACATTTCGTTTTCCTCCACTCTATCTCGAACGAACAAATATTTTGTATCGAGGAACAATCCCGCTCCACTCGAACTGTTATTTTTTGAGAAGCTCACAGCCGCGGAATTGTCACAATAAATCCTTAGTGGTCTTGAGACGGAATTCACTACTTTGAATCCTTTAATAAGATTCCTTAACAACATCCCATGACATGTTGCGTTGTACACCACTACATATTCGGCCATCATTGTTGAAGTAGTCGTAAGTCTTTGCTTGTGGCTTTTCCAAGATATTGGCCCACCTGACAGCAAGAAAATGTATCCCGAAGTGGACTTCCTATCATCTTTGCACTTAGCAAAGTCAGAATCAGAATATCCCACCATTTCTAAATTATTAGACCTCTGATATGTAAGTTTGTACTCCTTAGTCCCTTGAAGATACCACAAAACTTTCTTAGCAGCTTTCCAATGATCTAATCCTGGGTTAGATTGATATCTTCCCAACATACCGGATACATTTGCAATGTCTGGACGAGTACAAACTTGAGCATACATCAGGCTTCCAACTACGGAAGCATAAGGAATGAGTTTCATTTGCTCTTTCTCAACCTCAGTTCTTGGGCATTGGAATGACCCAAAAACGTCTCCCTTAACCACTGGAGCAACTGATGGAGAGCATTGTTGCATGTTGAAACGTTCTAAAATGCGCTCAATGTATGCCTTTTGGGACAAGCCTAACGTCCCTTTGACTCTGTCTCGGTGAATTTCAATGTCTATGACATAAGAAGCTTCACCTAGATCTTTCATGTTAAAATGGCCAAATAATAAGCGTTTTGTTTCGTGCAATAAATCCAAGTCACTACTTGCTAATAAGATGTCATCAACATATAACACAAGTATGATGAATTTGCTCCCACTCATTTTGAGGTAAGTGCATTGATCTACTTTGTTTTTAATGAAGCCATTTGATTTCATGACTTCATCAAATTTGAGGTACCATTGTCGAGATGCTTGCTTGAGCCCATAAATAGACTTCTTGAGTTTACACACTAGATGTTCTTGACCCTTAGAAACATAACCTTCTGGTTGTATCATATAAACATCTTCGTGTAAATCTCCATTTAAGAAGGTTGTTTTGACGTCCATTTGATGTAGCTCAAGATCAAAGTGAGATACTAAAGCCATAACAACCCTTATGAGTCCTTTCGAGAGACGTGTGAAAAGGTCTCTTGATAATCTACACCTTCCCTTTGAGTGTAGCCCTTAGCGACCAATCTTATCTTATATCTTTCAATGTTTCCTTTTGGATCTAATTTAGTCTTAAAGACCCACTTACTTCCAACGAGCTTTAGACCTTTTGGTAATTCAGCAAGTTCCCAAACATTGTTCTTCTCCATGGAAAGAAGTTCTTCATTCATGGCTTCTTTCCAATGAGTCGATTGGTCACAATTAATGGCATCAAGGAAAGATATAGGATCTACGACTTTCCCTAAATCAAAATCGGCTTCTTCATTTAAATATATCAAATATTCGTCAAAATTTGTGGGGCGTCTGTGCCTTTGAGATCTCCTTAGGGGTTGCTGATTTTCTAGAATTTCATTAGCAACAGGTGGAGTTGGTTCAACATTGATTGGAGTTTCATTCGCCTCTTGACTTGTTGCATCATTATTATGAGGCGTATGAGTTTCACTATGACCTTCAAGTGAGGAGTTAGATGGAATGGACAATATAATAAGTGGATTCATTCCAGTACCTTCTTGAAATTCATCACAAATGTTTGAACCACTACTACTCCCAATAAAGAAGACCATGAAAAGTTGTAGTCTCTCTATTATTGGACGAAATAATGTACACCAAATTTTGTAGAAACACTTTACTTTTTAACATATTTTCACCTGCAAACAAATGTATATTGTGTTATTAATATTTTTCATTTGTTTATGATGTGTTAATGTGTTTGGTTATGCATATCAGATGTCTATACGCTGTTTTTATATTGTGTTTCTAAGCAGGTGTGTCGCTTTGTATCATTTTTACCAAATTGTGTTTTGTATGTGTTCTTAAGTTGTCAAACGGTGAATTGCGATAATCGGGATCGATTTAGGATGAAAAACGCAATTTTTGGCCATCGGAGCGCCCCTGACCGACCTCGGTTGGGCCCAGACCGGCGCCGATCTGAAACAGAACATTTGGGTGTTGGGGAAAATCTGTCAAACGATTTGACGACTTATAAGTCGCCAAACAATTTGACAACTTTCCCCGACCAGAGTTAAACTTAGCAGTATATTTCATATTTATTTAATTAATTAACATTAATTCGGAAAAAAACTATGGAAAATGAAGGTTCACTCATCTTAAAACGTGAGTACTTTTTTCCCTCTTAGCTAATCAGAAATCACTGCGATTCTGCGACAATATACTCTATTTGCAATATTGCACATCAGCACATGTGAAGTTTATATAAAAAATTTCTCCAATAAGGCCTAAGATGTCAGTACTCATCTTCATTAAGTACGATCTCCCGGTACAAAGCTATCATCATCTTGCTTTCAGAATGTACGTCTCTTGCCACAGTTAATTTCAAAATTGACGAGGTCAAACGCTAATCAATGGCTACCTTTCTTTGGTTCTTGATTCTGGGTTGCGCCGCCCTCGCCACACCGGCAGATCTGGCCAATAACGGCAGCCCTTCGTTTTCCCACCCCACCAGCGTCTTCCTTCTCGCCGGACAGAGCAATATGGCCGGCCGTGGTGGCGTGGTCCATGACGTCTGGGACGGCTACATCCCGCCTGAATGCCGGCCCAACCCATCGGTTCTCAGGCTCAACCCGGCCCAGAAGTGGGAGCTAGCCCGAGAACCGCTCCACTCCGGCATAGACCTGAACAAGACGGTCGGAATCGGGCCCGGAATGTCCTTTGCGCAGTCTCTGATGAGCAGGGACCGCAACGTTGGGGTGATTGGTTTGGTCCCCTGCGCCGCCGGAGGGACGAAAATCAGCGAGTGGGCCCGCGGCGGCCACCTCTTCAACCGGCTGATACGCAGGGGAAAGACGGCGGCGCGCGGCGGAGATAAGATCCGGGCGCTCCTGTGGTACCAGGGGGAGAGCGACACCGTGAATCTTGAGGATGCTAACAAGTATGGGGATAGACTGCGGAAGTTGTTTATGGATGTGCGCACTGATATGGGACTGCCCACTCTTCCAATCATTCAGGTAAGACTCACATAATCGATGGACTCATCTTTTAAACCTTTGGACAATTTATTACTCCCTATTTCTTCGTTTGAATTTCATTAGTTTTGAGCCTAGTGTGAGGTTAAGATTCCCAAATAGAACTAGTACCACTTTATAATTATTAAAGTACTAAGAAATTTTAAATTTTCCAAAAAAAAAAAATACTCCATACTACTGAGTAATAGCCAATATCGAACATGTATGGTGGATAAAAAAAAAAAGAAAAAAAAAAAGAACATGTATGGTGGAAATGTTGGTCGAAGAAACTAAATTGATTGAAGTGATTGAACTGAATAAGTTGAATTTTCTGGATTATATATTTTAAATATAAAAAAATTATATTTAAAATATCTTTTATTATTAGATTAGAGAAGCAATTATCGGAAGAATAATTAAAATAATCTCATACCATAACTTCATACATTTCTATCGGAAATATAACTTCAAGCTTACTTATTTTGATTAGCACATAGTACGTAGTTTAACGTCTTAAATCCAAATTTGCGTTTTCGGTTAGAAAGTTAGCTGATAAGTCTGATTTATTGAAAATGGGGTTTACTAAATTAAGACTAAAACATACTTTCTTTTGTGAGGTTTTCTTATAATATTGCTCAAGTAATATTTGTGAATAAACTATGACTAAATGTGTTTATGTGCATAATTTCATCGTTACTACAATGTAAAATTGAAACATTTTATATATATATCATCTTTATTTTACTTTTTTTTTTATTAATCCTGGTGTTATGCCGGTGAAAGTAAGGTAAGGGTCGGAGAACACCTTACCAATTATTGAATAACATCTTTATTTTACTCATATATACATGTGTCTGTGTAATTATGTTTTCATTTACTCCCTCTGTCCCACTAAGAATGAGACATTGCAGTTCACGGTGCTTGACCGAAGATAAAACAAATATATCTCTTTTCGCACTCAAATTATTTTTAGAAAAAAAAATTACGTATTCAAAAACTAGATTAAAAGCTTTACAAACTCGCAAAAACAAGAATCAAATTTGATAAAAATTTGATATATAAAAAAAGAGATTAGTGATTGTGTTGACAAAGTACATGTGAATTAGGACATTGTTAGTGGAAGGGAGAGAATATTATTTTTTCACCAGAAAAAGTCATTGGTAGACGACTGACCTCTCGGGTCAGATGAATGATCTCAAGTTATCGTGTCCGCAAAAACCCTTCTTCTAAGTTACTTTCTTTTCTCCTTTATATTCATTTATTATGATAATGTACAATACAAACACTCTAGTATTATTTAAGATGACAATTCCGGTACCTTTCAAAAAAATGGGATACCGTACCTATCATTCATTTGATTGGATCACATCACTTTATCATTTTTAATTTAGATTTAAATAATTCAACTGCTACACTCTCATTGGTCCATGTGGACAAAGGTACGGTACCTTATGGGTACCATAGAATCTACCATTATTTAATGTCCTTGCTTGTTTGTTTCAATCAACCTTCCTTTATAGTTTACTACTACCTCCGTCCCGCTATGATTGTCCCATTTTACCTTATCAGTCCGTCCCACTAAGATTGTCTCATACCAAATTTGGTAAAGTTTGTGTGGCTCTAAATCATTCTTACTTTATTCTTACTTTATCAATTCAATATCAACCACATAAAACACTTTTTATTAATTTGCGTGTCACTCCCTCTTGTCCCATTGTTAGCGGGGCGGAGGGAATAGTATTCTACCGGTGCGATGCACGGGAAAAATTTATTAATATAAAAAATTTGTCCATATAATTAAGAACACATATTTTGTCATATCATGTTATATGTGGATGATTTTTTTGCTTACAAAAAATATACTCTATATGTGCATCGATGTCTACAATTTACACTTTCTAATATACAACAATCATAACTGCATGGTTGATAACCATTATTCCCTCCGGTCGTAAATAAACTTCACACTTTCCTTTTTGGGTAGGTCCAAAATAAACTTCACACTTCTTCTCCCTTCCTTATTTGGCAAATTATCTACATCAAAACAGTGCAAAACAGTGCAAAACTGTGTCACAACAGTGTACTCTACAGTAAAGTCAAATTTATTTCCGTAATTTGTGTGAAGTCAAAGTGTGAAGTTTATTTAGGACCGGAGCGAGTATTATTTAAACTTGAGATTTTTAGAAATTTGATAGCAGCGTATAACTATTCATATTATAAAATTGGATTTTTGATCAACACGGATCCCTTATTTTAAATTTTTTAATGACAACTTAGATGTCAATGGTTTTTAATGTAATTTAATACTTATACGTAAATAATCACTATACGATAGTTAAGAGTTTTTTTTCAAAATAATGTTAAAGAAAAAATTATTTACTGGAATGAACCTTAGTTAACAAATTAAAACCCCTTCTGCCAAAAAAAAACTAATTAAAACCCCTAACTCACTTGTAAGCTTTCTCTTAATGCTCAAATTAGGGAGAGAATGTTATGAAGCTAGCAACCAAAAGCTAACAAATCAAATCACTTAGCGCCCATTTAGTGATCCAATTTCGGTTGATCAGCCTCATCAACTGATTTTTTCATCAAGCATATAACTTTTGTTTTTGTGCGCAAAATTGTGTAATGGTCAACATATATAAGGTTGAAGTTACTTTTATGACTCGATTGACTGAAGCTGTTGTAGAGGGTCATTTTAGCTATTTTCAGTTTTTCTTTCTCTTTATTTTATGAATAAAATATATTTTAATTATAATTTTTCCACAATTCATCAGAATTAGCTAATCCAACCACTTCATCCATAAATTCGAATATTTCAGCAGAATCAGTCGATTTAACCAATTTTAGTGTTACAAAACGGGCTCTTAATTTGACCCAAATTCACAAACTCTCTCTTTTTAAAAAATTGCTATAACTATTTTATTTGTAATATGATTTTTACCAAAAATATATCAAAATTCATAACTTGTAATTAACTTTCATATGACACCAATATTGCATCTATAAGAATAAAAGTAAATCTAAAGATATGGTTGGTGAAGGTTTTTAAGTTCAAAATTTTCTTAATTGGATCCGAGTTCTAAAATCAAGAGTCTGTTTAGTAACAATGAAATTGGTTGATTCTGTTGAAATCGATGAAGTTCTGTCTGAATTGATCAAATTTTCTTAATAATGAAGTAGCCATATTTAAAATATATATTATATTAATAAAGTAAAGAAAAATATATATGAGAAATAGCTAAAATGTTCATTTATAGTAACTTCAGTAAAAAAGTAACTCAAAGCTCACTTATTTGATTATTATACAATTCATCGCGCGAAATAAAAAGTTACATGTTTGGTGAAAAGAATGACTAATAAAACTAATAAGCCAAATATAGGGGTCAGCAAATGGGCTCTAACATTTCATGACTGTATAGCACAATTTCATTTTGCAATAAGGAAACATTTTATTTATTGACTGAAAGTGTCAATAGAGAATGCTTGTGACAGTTATATATTCTGTTGATTCGATTTGAATTATATTTATGTAAAATATTTTAGAACTTAATGTCCCCTTATTATCACTTTCAGCCAATAAAAAAATGTTCCCATCGCGCTATGCAATCGTGAGATCTTAGTTTTAGAACTTGAGTGCACTTAAAAAGTTATGAGTCTAAGACCCTTCACCTATCTGGTCTTCATACTTTTCTATTTTTATATATGCAATATTCGTGTCATGTGAAAAATGTTATGAATTTTAATTTTCTTTTTATCAAAACTGAATTATAAATTAAAAATTTATAGCGGTTTAAAAAGAGAGCGATTTTTTGAATTTGGGACTCATTGAGTGATTTTAAATTGTTTGTCGCATTCCAGTTAAAAGTTTGCATTATAACATAGCTTTGTGTAATAATAATTAAATAATCCCTCATCCCAGTTTAAGATTCTCACGTGTCATTTTATAGTTGTATCAACTAAATGTTCTCATTTTTATTCCAGTAAATAATTAACACTTTTAAATGATAACATAATCACTAAATATTAAAAATAATACATCTATAACATTAATATTGTCACCGATGACATTATTATATGTTATACTCGTATAACAGTACAATTATAATCCCTTTATTGTCCCTGCATTTGATTATGTATGTACGTCATTGTTTGAAGTAAACATATTGTAGAGAAAGCAGGCGTTAAATAGTAATTATTTTTAATCCATATAAAATAAAAGATAAATTATAAAATTTTGAAGGCAACATAATAAAATTATATTTAGGTAGTATATTAACCATTACTGCGCAATATATTGAATATCAACATAATATTTATATATAGATGGCAATATGAAAACAATTATTATTAAGGTCATTTATTATATTCAATAAATTAATGAATACTATAATGACATGTAGCCATGAATGAGCAATAAAATGGCATGTGGCAATATGATTTTCACAATGTAACTCTCAATTGTATAATATATAGATAACATTACAATTATAATCCCTTTATTGTCCCTGCATTTGATTATGTATGTACGTCATTGTTTGAAGTAAACACATTGTAGAGAAAGCAGACGTTAAATAGTAATTATTTTTAATTCATATAAATAAAAGATAAATTATAAAATTTTGAAGCCAACATAATAAAATTATATTTAGGTAGTATATTAACCATTACTGCGCAGTGTATTGAATATCACCATAATATTTATATATAGATGGCAATATGAAAACACTTATTATTAACGTCATTTATTATATTCAATAAATGAATGAATACTATAATGACATGTAGCCATGAATGAGCAATAAAATGACATGTGGCAATATGATTTTCTCAATGTAACTCTCAATTGTATAATATATAGATATTGATATAGGTATAGATAACTTAAGTTTTTTAATTTGTGCAGTATAAAATATTTTAGGTATTAATGACCTATTTTTATATTTTTAATTTTAAAATCAATTTTATTAGTTTATTAGTTATTGTGTGTCAATTAGTCAATATTGTGTGTTAATTACTAACTTGAGTTTTGTGTTACACTAAAATGTTTAAAATATGTGTGCACGAGTAAAACATTATAAAAGGCACACGATTAAATTTATAATTCAAGAATGAAAAAGTTATAAATTACTTTCAAATTAAAATTATTATATTTTTCAATGTCATATGTAGTGTAATGATAGTTTAGTAAATTATTAATAATGAATCTACTACATGTGCATATTATGGAAAAGAGTTTATGCTATATTCGAATGAGTATAACACTTAAAACAGATGTGCATATACAAATGAACATTTGAGCAAATTGAGAATTCAAATGAGCTTTTGAATTTTTCAATACTCATTTTGTAAATTATGTTTGCTCATTTGATATTTGTGTTATGCTCGTTTTAAAATATCATATCAATGCATATTTCAAAAGTATAATATTACAATAGATTCGCATATTAAAATTCATAGCAGTTGATTATAGATAATTTTAGAAAAAATTACAAAAAAGAAAACCTAAAAATAAGAAAGTGAATTAGAAGACATAAGACTAACGATCACGATACTCAATTGTAGTGTTCAAATACTCAATACACATAGTATCGATGTTCAATAATAGAGATTAGGATAATCGATGAAGATGTTTTGATGCTCAAATGAGGTTTTAAAATTTTGTTTACTTTATTGTAGAGTTTTAATGTTCAATACATATAATCTCGATGCTTAATAGTAGAGAACATAATACTCAATGGATATGTTTTGATGCTCAAATGATATTTTAAATTTTTACATACTCAATTACAGAGTTTTAATACTCAATAAGGAAAATTTGATGCTCAATGAAAATGTTTTGATACTCAACTACCAACACTTACGTTTTTCAATTCAATGCATATTTCAAAAGCATAATACTAAATTAGATTCACATATTGAATTTCATAGGAATTCGTTATAGATATTATTATAAGGAAATTTTATAAAAGAAAAATTAAGAAAAAGAAAGTGAATTATAAAATATAGAGCAAAGTTCACGATACTCAATAATAAATTTCTCATACTCAACATAATATGTTTGATGTTCAATAAAAGTGCATTGACGCTCAATTGGCATAAAACATTGTGTCAATGCACATGTCTTGAAGATATTATACTCATATTTGTATAATGTAAAAATCATTTCAAACATATATTCTCATAATGAATGTATACTCATAAGAAGTACTCCTTCCGTTCCGGTCATTTCTTCCAACTTTCCTTTTTGGACCGTCCCAATTAATTCTTCCAACTTACACTTTTGGAAAAAATATGTGGTTCACATTCATTCACCTTTTTCTTACACAACTACAACCATACATTTTCACTTTATTCTCACTACCTAAATTTGCGATACCGGTCAAAACCGGAAGAAATAACCGGGACGGAGGGAGTATTTGTTATGCTCATTTGTAATATCACACATATGTACATGTTTAAAACATTACACTCATGTAATATAACATAAAAGAGATGAACATTTACATTATAATTTTTTCGAACAGGTTGTAGACATTTGATATGAGAAAACTTGAAAAATTGCAGCTATACCAGTGAAAGAGGAAGAGAGATTATTCTAATCAAGTAGTCATCCGAATTAATTTATTTGGAATTTGTAACTGTCAATTAGTCATCCGAATTAATTTATTAAGAATTGTAGATATATAAAAAAAGAAAATTTAGAGAAAGCTTGGATTGCGTAGTGAAGTATTAGACGCACGAGAAGAGCATGAGATTAAATTAGGCTGAAAGTTAAACAAAATCACAAAAATACCTGGTTGTACGGTCCCCACCCGTACAACAGATTATGTAGTATATAAAGTCACTATTATCATGTTACAATAGAACAATCAATTACTTATTTTAGTGGGATTCTTAATGAATACAAAATAATTGTGGTATCAATATGTATAAAATAAGGAGCCTATTAATTAGTCAATATGTTTACGGTACAAGGGTATCTCGGGAATGAAAAAATTAAAAACTAGACGGATGATATGATATGATGCATGTATTGTCAGATAAGGAAATAAAACATAAAAATCGTATAATGGGAAACAAAATGACTTTTAATAATATAGGAGGTAAATTTTTCTTTCCTTTTTGGGATATGTCTAAAATACGATTACTTTCTTAAGTTCGACTCCACTAACTTTTTACTTTCTCACTTTGTCCCTATACCTATCATTTCACCTTTACTTTTTGTGAATTTCTTTTTGTATTTATTACTTTTTGGAGGTTAGAAATGTAATACAATTACTTATTTTCTTAAAACACATGCCAAACCCACATGCATCCTAGAGATTTTCTAGTACCCCACAGTGATAAGTATTCAATAAAAAACTTTCAAATAACTGACTTTTTTTAACCCTATAGACAAACCATCGGTGGGGTAAATGTTAAAAGAATTAAACAATCTTACAAAACTTTCCTAATTCAAATCGTACTCCGTATTAACGTTCCTGCTTCAAATTATTTTCAACAAGAGCATAATAAGCATTCAATTATCCACCACATACTCATCTAACGTTTCGTAAGCTAAGCTACACATAAAATGATTATAAATGATGGTCGATTTTGTATTATTTTATATACATATATAAATAAGTAGGTGGCTTTGGCAACGAAACAAGGACCTTATATGGACATAGTGAGGGAAGCACAACTGAAAGTGGGCCTTCCCGGAGTGAAAACAGTGGATGCCAAAGGTTTGGAGGTTGGCTACGATTATGTCCACCTCACCACTACAGCTGAGGTTGAGCTTGGGAAGATGATGGCTGAAGCTTTCTTCCGTCCATCTCCCCCTCCTCTCCACCTTCAAACTATTAGCAGCAACAAGAACAACAACACCAACAGCAACCACAACGGCAGTGACAACCACAATAGCGCTGCCCCATTGGCGACCATATCCCTACCACACCTTTCTTTCTGCTTTTCTCTTCTCATCACCTTAAGCCTTTTATTACAGTATCATTAGGTCAAGTTGTGTTAATGATCAGTTCATTCAGGAATATCTTGCTCATAAAAAGGTTGCTAATGGGTGCTACTTTTATGATTTAATTTTACTTTCCCCTTTTTGGTATATACTTCGTATGATGTACAAATTTCAATACCAAAAAAATTGAACAATGACTTCTTTTCTCTCTCACATTTTTAATTGAAATTATTTCAATCCTGAATCTGATTAAACTAGATCATACAAGACTTAAATAGGACATAACATAAAGTCCTATAAACTACAACCTAAAAACAAAACAAAAAATATTATTCATCCACAACATTGGCATTACTACATTAACAATTAAAATCTAAATTAAAATTCCTAATCTACAAATAAATTATAATACTATAAAGAACACTTTCATTTTTTCATACACTTTGAAAATAGATCACATGAATTATTCCACACCCATGCTTCTTGTACATTAACCTTTCATGCATAATTACCGGAAAATATTATCTGTGTGTATAACAAGATGATGAACAAAAAATATTATGCATGCATAGAAAGTTTGGTAAATTATTTAAAAAAACTAAGTGATGGGTTATACTGCAGAGCTAACATACAGAAGTCAATAAATTAGGCATCGTACTTACTTTTATTATCAAATCTAACAAAGAAATTTAAAAAATAAACATAAATATTAAAAACTAAGCAAATCTAACAAAGAATATTTGTACACAAATTAATAAAAAAGAACAAAACTAAATTTGTTCGTTTGATCGAATTTGGAGTTGCTAAACGGTCGAGATTTGTTGGCACATACACGCTTCATTGTTGTAGACGTACTTGAGCGTAAGAGTGATGATATATTAGTTCTTGTCTTCTTGAGGTGTTGAGAATAAAGGCTAATATTGGAATAAAGGTGAGGGAATGAATAAATGGTATTGATCTTATATGGAAAAATGTATGTTGAGTACACCCGACTATGCTTTTTATCTTGGCCTTGGGATTTTTTTTTATTCTTATAGGGACTTGAGTTTGGGTTATCCGACCATCAACCAAGCTGTGAGTTCCAAATTGAGTATTAACCAAATACAGAGTATATAATATTTTTCATAAATATTTCAATTGACAACTCTCTGAGAGCTAACTTTATCTGTTACTTTGGTCTTCTGTTTTATCATTTTGCTTAGCTATTTGCTCACCCCTAATGTTATGTATATGGTGTCTTATGTGTTCTTAGATAGTTGGTTTTTATGCATTTGTTCTACATCCATATAATGTGCGCAATTTATGTTATGTTACTGATACAATGTTTTGATGGTCTAACATTGTGTTATGCTACACATACAATCTTTTGGTGGTCTAAATAATAAAGGGTTTCTATTCATTGTCTATGTAGACTGTTATTCTTTGTTAATGTGAATACATTTCTCTATGTGCTATATAATGTCACACAGAAGACTATTGTCGAGTTCAAAGACAAGAAGAGTGATATTTTTTATATTGTTAATATATGATTTTTGTTGAACGAATATAAAATGTTATCTTGCGGGGTTTTGTGGGAAATGTTCTAGAAGTTGGTATGGAGCTTGATAGATATAAGGAGTTCAACAAAACAAGGAAGGATGAATTAAATACAAGATTTAGGGGGTCGTTTGGTAACACTGATATTAGTTGAATCGATTGAATCTGCTGAAACTTATGAATTTCTGACTGATTTGGCTGAATTTGCTAAATTGTGAAAAAATTATATTTAAAATATATTTTATTTATAAAACTAAAGAAAAATTACATGAAAATAGCTAAAATTGTCTTATACGGTAACTTCAGTCAATTTACACACAAAAGTAATTTCATTCTTACTTAATTTGATTGTTACACAATTCACTTTGTGAAGTTAAAAACTACGTGTTTGACAAAAAGTTGACTGATAAGGGCATAAGACTGATAACCTGAAATAGGAGATTACCAAACATGCCCTTATCTTAATAGTTTTTGCCGGAAAGCAGATATAGCAAGTCAAAATATTATTTGCAACCTCAACCTTTGATGCAAATGGGTGCTATGCGAGAATAAGAGCACATACATTGAAATCATGCATGATACTCATATCATCATTAGCTATGAAATTATACTTTCTACCGAATATACTATGATATCTTCACAAATGCTCTCATAATCTTAGAGAACTGTGAAAACAACATATAATATGATTTTATACATTAAAGATGAAAAGGTTGAGGAGATCTTTATATCTTAAACCTTAACTTTAACTACTGAAGAAGGAAAATGTAGTTTAAATCTTTCATTGTAATGATTGGGGACAAACATTTTGAAATCCTCTTCAAAGTGAAACTTTACAGGGATCTGATTGGGAAGGGCTGATTTGATGAAATTACTTGCAATGCTCTACTCAATTTCTAAGAGATTGGAGGACTAGATCACTCCTGAATCCCCAAGAATTCATCTTTAGATATTGCATATAGCATTATCTAATTCATTCATTATTTAAAGTGTTTATTAATATTCCAAAATTTATCCATTATTATCAAATAAATATTAAACACACACTCATACAAACTTTAAAAAACTCATTTCAAACTCTAAACCACAAATAAGTATCAAGAAATATTTTGGTCTTCAAGTAGCATTGTTGCGCTTATTTGTTTATTTTTATTGTCTCAAAGTAAAGTCTCTATTTTTTGGGAAGAAATTGTGTATTGATTTTTACTCTCTAAGTTATAATCTCAACCAATTATGAAACATAGGTGCAAATAGTTAATCTAGACAACAATGGTAACTAGCTACAACAAGCCTAAAACTAACTAGCTCCTCAAGAACCGACACTTATTGTTCAACACTTCAATCTAAGTAGTGGAGTATATGGTCACGGACCTCCTTGCTCACATACTTGAACTACATAAATAAAAGCCCAACAAGTAAGCAACCACCCTTGGGTGGGCCATCGACAAACATGGGTCAAAACAACATAGAGAATGGATTATCAACAAATCTGTCCTGATAATATTTTTCACTTATATGACCTATCAACACGTGCCCCCTCGGCCTCATCCTACGGACTCTCGGTCCGTTACTCTTTAGCACTCAGCATGTGCATTTAATGCACCACGCATGCTCGAATATGTCTTACGTCAGAGCTTCCCGCAATAGACTACCTTACATGTGTACGCGCATTTAATACATTTAGCAATTATGACTAGTATAAATAATTTCCGTTTGGAAAGATGTAACGGTTTGAAACTTCATTAATACAATACACTCTTCTCTCTCTAACTTGTTAGTTTTGTCTTCTCTCAACATACCGCTAGTATTCTGGCATAGCTATCACTAAGGTTCCAAGAAAGTTTAAGTGGTTTTCTGAAGTTACCCGCATACAGCTAGATGGTCATCATGTGAGAATAAATCCCATGACTTTTCCTTCAAGATTATTGAACTCAAGACCTCCCACAAAAGAGGAATCTAAGTGTGCGAGGTGGTCCAATTATTGAACCGTTCCCCCTCTTCATATATCGCTTGTCACCCTAATCTTCTCTCTAAAGGAAGCATTATGTGATGTTGTTGAGGACTAGAACTAAGCTTGTTTGGTTTTACACTCCTAAACTTGACATAAAGTTTTTTCTATAATCAAAATTAGTGTTCAGATGGATCGGCTCTAGTTAGTTTAGACATGGTCCAAAATGAGCAATTGATTTCTGAAATTTGTTTTTCTTTTAAATTATGTAAAAGTCTAACTTTTTGATTTATAACCATTCAAAACTAGTTCAAAAATAGGAACGCGAAAGTATATAGATTCCTACCTGCAATATAGTAAAATCGATATCTGTCAAAATTCTTTAACCTGGGACGTGAACTAAGTTGACCAAAGTTATGGTATTTAAGGGCCTTTTTACAAAGTTTGTCTCAAGCCAAAAAACTATTAGGATCAGCCTGGCCTGACCATGGTGCATGCACGCTCTTATAGTCTTATATAATCTGTTCATTCATTTTGACATTTAACTTACAATAAGCTAGTAAGGAAGTGTATTTATTAGAAAAGGATTAGTAATCGCAAAGTTTCATTATACATGATCATACTTATGTTCTTTTTTTCAAGTTCAATGCATACATGGACAATCAATTAACACGTGGGATTCGATTTAAGAAGGAAAAAATGTATATATTAACACATTCATTTTATTGTTCAATTTTTTTAAATGAAAAGTCCAAGTGAAGTGTGTTATCTTGATCTGATAAGTATATATATAGAGATTATTGTACTATTACAAATATTTACAACTATATTGTTACAACACTTATGCGTTCAGTTTGGTACATCTACAAGAAATCCCTCCTTGATTTGCGTCATGTACTCGGTTACTCAAGTCACTAAATAGGTAGTGTATATACGAAGTGTAGTAAATTACAGTACGGTAAATATTTTCCCATTTTATCCTCTGTTTTATGTCATGTGCCTAATATTAGACCAGTACTTTTATACCCGCACGGGTAGCTCATTTGGTTCAGTGGTGGAAAATTTGGATCAAGTGACCAAGGTTCGAAACCCGCAGCGGCCGTGTGGAGGTCACAGAACCTGAAATAAGGCTAGGCCTCTGGTGCGCACGGGAAAAAGACCTATCATCATTGGGCCGACTGAGTCACCGTGATTAACATCCTCCCAAAAATATTATCGGGTCGGGGTATGGGGCTTCTGGGGTGGATGATTCCAACTTTTGGACCAAGACCAGTACTTTTATTCATTTACCGATCATGTCCGGTAATTAAAACGTTTGTCTATATTTATACCTTTTCTACTAGATATACCATTGTGACCAAGTTGAAAATTTCTACTGGCATAACTTTTCACCGCCAGATCATATAAGACATTTGGATGAAAACTATTTAGTGTAACCAATTTATTACATAAACTACATTATTTGCAAGTATGTAAAATTATAGGATTAAAGATGATTTTAATTAGACTATAATTTTCTGGACCGGTCTGACTTGGTGTAAACTGGTTTGATTTGGTTTAATTTGATAGATGTTTGTTTTGTTTGTACCATAAAATTGTCAAAATCTGGTCTAATCTAATTTGAACTGGTCTGATTTATTTATATATGGTCTAGTCTGGTCTGGTATGAGACTAAAATCACTCCGATTAAAACATCTCAATAATTTACATAAGCACTGGACTAAAACTCATTTGCAGGAAAAAAACATAATTACAACCATACTTATCAATTTTTATATTTTTAATAGGGCCCGGTTCCAATAAAAAAGTAATCTTTCGGTACAAAATATGAACGCCCCACTTCTAATCATTTACTTTAAGCGACTATTAAGCGTCTGAGGTTCACTATTGCATTGATCATAAACTTTACACTATTAAAATCAGGAAATTCATTTTTTTACAAAGAAGAAAATTTTCGATTTATTCACAAAAATGTTACCGCGTTTTCGTCCACTGTAATGCATTTTTTATTCATTTAGAGTCATTCGGTCCTAAATCGGATGTTACATACTTATATCTATATACATTTCATGAGGACTATTTGTATTTGGTTCTAAATCTCTCTCTTTAATATATTTCCAAACTATATTATTGAGTCTGTTTGAACAATATAGGGGATAGGAATCATAAGATTGAAGATGGAAATGAACGGCAAGACAAACACATGAGCCATGAAAAACGGGAGCGGGATGGCAATCTTGACAATACTGTTACTTCTATTGTACTTCTGGCGGACAATCCTTCCGAGCAGAGAGACGATCCTTGTGGAAGCTCAAAGAAACAAACGGCGGCGGGTGAATCACATCATAGTGCTGGCCGGGCAGAGCAACATGGCCGGCCGGGGAGGAGTGGTGCCAAAAATGTTCGGAAATGAGAGCATAAGAGCATGGGATGGCACCGTTCCGCCGGAGAGTAGCCGGAATCCGAACGTCTACCGATTCAACGAGAAATTCCAGTGGGAGATAGCGCAAGAACCGATACATGCCGGGATTGGGTGCACGATAACATGCGGGGTCGGCATCGGAATGGCGTTCGCCAACAAGCTGCTGGCGCTGGACCCGGGGTTCGGGACGATCGGTCTGGTCCCCTGCGCCGCCGGAGGGACGTCGTTGAAGAACTGGACGAGCGACACGGATTACCCTTACAGGAGTTTGTTGGGAAGGACGAGAGCGTCGCTCAAAACCGGTGGGGTCCTCAGGGCGGTGCTGTGGTATCAAGGCGAGAGTGACTGTAAGTACTATGGTTTCGCTAAGAGTTATAGACAGAATATCCGCCGATTGATTTCCAGGTTTCGCACTGATTTGCAATCTCCAATGCTTCCCTGGTTCGAGGTATGTTATTGACAAATTACATATTTTATGAATTTCAAAATAAGATTATTGTACTTTTATTTCCTAAATATAAATAATTACTGTCATTTTTTTTATTAGTAGACTTTAAATATGACAATGTTTTTCATCTATAGAAGTAATTCGTATAATTTTTTGATAACATCAAGCTTTAAACATGACAACATTTCTCAAAGTTAATTGTTATTACTTTTATTTTGAGAATAAAAACATGACAATCTTATTTTAAAATTTTAAAACGTTTTTACTTGTATTTAGGGAATTTCTCCTAAACTTTAGTACTCATTATGGAGCATTTGCAATGCAAATGTGTGAATTGTGCACACGTGACAACAATGAAATAAACATAAAAGGAATTCATAAAAGGAAAGCATAAAAGGAACTCATTATGGAGCATTTCTCCTTTCATGGTGTAATCAATTTAAGTTACTTTTGATTGACAATATATTTTAGTCACAATGTCAATTATAATTTCCAGATCATATATGCTTTTGAAATGTTTAAAAGCATATAATGAAATGTTTAAATATAAAAACTTATTACGAACATATATAATAAAAATTTAAGGACGTGATTTATTTAGAAAAATTGATGGAATTGACACCATAACGTTTACAAAAAAAATGATGGAATTGACATAGATTTTTTATTTAAATTATCCATGCTAAATTACTGTTTTGTCATGAGTTGTTTAACACGAAACCATCAATCAATCAGTGTTAATCACGTTACTTTTCTTGTAGTGCTCGAGGATAATAAAGCCAACTCTCTTATATTTTCATGGATAGAGTAAAATGTTACTACATGCATTCTAAATTGGTGATAGGTTATCATACCGACGCCAAAGCCACCATTTGAAGGACCATTCATAGAAGATGTGAGAAAAGCTCAGCAGGAACTGGACTTACCAAATGTGATAAAAGTGGATGCGGATGGACTGCCAATTGGGCCGGACGGTATTCATCTCACCACCGAGAGCTACGTCCGGTTGGGCCATATGCTGGCCCATGCCGTTTTAGAGAACAAATCATTGTTACTATCATATGATATTCACAACAACACAAGATTTTCAAACGACACTACTTTACGTGTTCCTACTTGATTACTTTGGTGTCACATATCCTTCCACGTGTTTTGCAATTTTCCTTTGAATTTTTAAATTCAAATTTCTGTATTTTGCTTCCTTTGAAAATCTATATGGAAAGCTACTCTTGCTCCAAGGCGTTGATATGCATGCATCTGTGTAGGGCAATTTCCATTTTAAATGGGATATTTATTAATTTTATCGGATAATTACAAAATCCACTAAAACTTTCATGTCCATCAAACAATTTTGGTTCATACGAGAGATTAGCTAAATTATGTTAGTGATTTGTCGATAATAAGTTATAAGAAGGTGAAGTAAATTATAGTTTGGAAAAATTCATCGTATGTAGGGATTAGGGATGGACAGGTTCCGCTCTGTCCGGCCCAGGAACCGGTCCGACCCGGCACTGTGCGGGACTAGTCCGGTCCGGTTGCCCGGGACCAGGCCTAGGACCCGACCCGACGGTGTTTTGGGGGCGGGCTCGGGCTGCAGGGTTCTTTGGAACCGGCTCGGCCGGTTTGGTTCCGATTCTTTGGTCCGGTTCTTTTGAAGGTAGGCAGGCTGGACTGGGTGTTTTGAAGGGGTTTGGAGGGTGGGGTAGGAGTTAATTAAAAAAGCAAAAAAACACTACCCGACCCAACCATTCGTATGCAAATACTACCCCCGTCCCATAAAATTCTTACCACTTTGACTTGATACGGAGTGTGGACATAATAAAATTATTGGGTCAACGTTCTATTCTGTTAGACTGCTCGTGATGGTTGTTGGGCCTTATAGAAATATTAATATGGACTCATTCGGATAAAATTTAATAATTGAATTAATTTAGATCATTTAAATATCCAATTGATTTAATTATAAATTAAATCTTTACAAGAATGGACCGGTCTTATTAATTTCTTTATTTTGAGCCCATTATTAAATAGCAGCCCAATGAATAAGAGTCATGATCCAATTGATAAAGAGATGAATGAATATGTTTAAGGAATCCATCCGTATGAATGGAAAATGGCTGCGAACCTTGTTAAAAAGGCTGTCCAGATACATCAAACAAGTGCTGATTTTTCTGGCTATTAAATGCAAGCAAATAGAGCCCAAAACCCATTTTATTTGAGGCCCAAGGGATATGGACGAATTTCCAAAACCCTAGAGCATATTTTCATCCCCTCCACATCTATAAATAGGGGTCTCAGTTGATAGGAAGGTGAGGATTTTTCAGACGAAGAAACGTTGCAGAAAAGCTCTCAAGAACTCCCAAAAGGCTCTGAACGATTCCGAAGAAGAGGAATAGATCAAGCCACAAATTTATTAAGAATATACGAATAATCCTTCGTGATTTCGTCGATTCTTAATAAAATAAATCCAAAAGTTGAAGAACGTTCGAAGATCTGAAGAACGAAGCTTGAAGATTTGAAGATCTGAAGAACAAGACTTTGAATTTGAAGATATGGAGAACGAATCTTTGAAGATTTGAAGATATTCATATTAAGACTGAATCAAGATTCAATTGAAGATCAAGCCACATATCCCGGGAGGCCCTTAAACAGAAGATCAAACCATAAAACGGCCCTTTTGTTGAAGATCAAGCCACTTGAAAACCGGAGGCCCTTCAAGCTGAATTCTTAATTCAAGAATATTTGAAGATTCAAAGAAAGAAGATTCGAAGATTCAAAGAACAAAACTTTGAAGGTTTGAATATACGAAGAACGAAGGTTCGAAGATTTGAAGATCTGACGAACGTTCGAATATTTGAAGAATTAAAGATTTAATTTTGAATTAATTTCTTTAATTATATTTATTTCAAATTGCAAATGAAGAATCAGAGGATTCATATTTAGAAATTATACCCAATAAGTTCAAATATGATGAACTGATTGATGACGAGGAATACATTGCCTCATCTTACCATATTACCCTTGGTGATGAAATCCCGGTCGAAGGTGAAGATGCTGATGAAGCTCCTCCGGAATTTGAAGAAGGAGTGCGAACAGCTTTGGATGAACTAAAGGAGGTAAATCTTGGCACCGAAGAGGACCTTCGTCCCATTTATATCAGTGCTCTTCTATCGAGCGAAGAAAAAGAAGAATATGTGGCCTTACTCCAAGAATACAAGGATGTCTTTGCATGGACATACAAAGAAATGCCGCGGTTGGATCCAAAAATCGTTGTTCATCACTTAGCGATAAAGAAAAGGATGTCGACCAGTAAAGCAAGCTCAAAGGCGCTTCCGCCCAGATTTAATTCCATTAATTGAAGCAGAGGTTGATAAACTTATTGAGGTCGGATTCATTCGAGAAGTGAAATATCCTACTTGGATATCCAACATTGTCCCGGTCAGAAAGAAAAATGGACAAATCCGAATATGTGTTGATTTTCGGGATCTTAACCTTGCTTGTCCAAAAGATGATTTTCCACTTCCAATCATTGAATTAATGATAGATGTTGTGACTGGGCATGAAATTATGTCTTTTATGGATGGTTTCTCTGGTTATAATCAGATCCGGATGGCTCCCGCAGATGAAGAATTGACTGCCTTCCGAATTCCTAAGGGGATCTATCGCTACACGGTCATGCCATTTGGACTTAGGAATGCAGGAGCTACTTATCAACGAGCTATGCAGGCAATATTTGATGATATCCTTCACAAAATCGTAGAGTGCTATGTTGACGACCTCGTGGTGAAGTCAAAAGCCCGAGGCAATCATCTATCACACTTAAGAGTAGTATTTGATCGCTTGAGGAAGTTTGGTCTCAAAATGAACCCTCTGAAGTGTGCTTTCGGAGTTTCGGCTGGGAAATTCTTGGGGTTTATTGCCCGTCATAAAGGCATTGAGATAGAACAAGCCAAGATCGACGCTATTGTGAATATGTCGGAGCCTCGAAATATTCATGAGTTGAAAAGTTTGCAAGGAAAATTGGCTTACATACGGAGGTTCATCTCGAACTTATCTGGAAGATGTCAACCATTTAGTCGAATTATGAAGAAGGGTGTGCCTTTCATATGAGACCAAACGTGTAAGAATGCGTTTGAAAATATCAAGGCTTATTTGATGAAACCACCAATGATGTTGTAAGTGGCTAAACTGCTAAAACATCTCACTTTGTCTATGGGTGAGCATAATCATAGATACTCTTGGCCCACGAGAGTTTAAATGTGTACGGCAAGCTCTTGGGCCACGAGAGTTTAAAATGTATACGGCAAGCTCCTGGCCCGCATGAGTTAAAACTGTGTACGATCCCCTCCTTTAGACATGTGAGTAAAGCCTGATACTAAAGTCCGCATTGTCTGAGCTTGATACTCGCACTCAGGGGTCCAGTTTGTAACCCGATAGGACACAACCGTTGGACCCCAAAACTCGCGAGCAAATGGCATGTGCATCTCCAAAAGAATCTCTTCGTCATTCTTCTTGCTCGTTGATATGGACAGCTATTTTTTGCCTCCATGCCTTACGTCCCTAAAAGATATCATTTTGGACTGCAAAAAAAACATCATTATTCTTATTATTATTACTATAAAAAAACAGGCCGCTCAGCAATGATAATCAATCTCAAGCCCGAGCAATTGATTTCATCTTCCGACTAGACGAACAAAGAAATCAGTAACACTGGCCAATAATTAGTCAAGCTCCTTCAGAATGGACAAAGGTTGAAAGTAGCGGCAACATCTCAGTCTTCAACAAGTGCAATGAGCCGAAGTCTCTAGATTGGTGCCACTAGCCCAACGAAGGGCCCCAAGCGACACCGATGAGTGACAATCCGACCAATTCTTTAGATCGGTCACCAGCCCAACGAAGGGCCCCAAGCGACACCGACGACCGGTAATCAGTCTAATTCTTTAGATCGGTGCCACTAGCCCAACGAAGGACCCCAAACGACACCGACGACCGACAATAGACCTATTCCTTTAGATCGGTGCCACTAACCCAACGAAGTGCCCCAAGCAACACCAACGATCGGAAATCGGCCTAATTCTTTAAATCAGTGCCACTAGCCCAACGAAGGACCCCAAGCAGCACTGATAACCGACAATAGCTCTTCAATTAATGACGCCATCACTTGAAATAGCCGAAAACAGGGGCCTCGTTGTGATCTTAGAATTGCCCGGATTCATGGGAGCTCAAATCTTAAAATAGGCCCAAAGGCCCAATTTATTAAAATAAAGAAGCTGGCCCCAACCGCACTAAAGACCCTCATTTGGCCGAGAATCAGTTTTGAGATTGCCTAGACCTTCGTCGTTATTTCCCCGACTTCGGACCGACAACATCTCAAACTCAGCTTCTAATTGCAGCAGCCACGGTCAAGACCTCCTGAGTATTGGAAAACGATCAACTCTTGCACAGTGCCTCTGGACAGACATCATCTTCTCCGACAACTGGACGGGCCGCATTGGATTCTGGCAACAACTTCTGACGGCATCGGCGGCAAACAGGGGAGCTGCGACCTGCGAATTTCCCCTGCAATACACCAAAAGAAAGAAAGAAAAAACAGTAAAGAAGAAAAGATACCTGCTAGCTATTAATTCTACTTCCAGAAATTTTAGTAGCTATGAGTCTTGGAGTTCTATTATGATTCTTATATGAATGGTGCAAGAACTATCGATGGTCCAAGAATGATTACATAGACCCCAAGGGGTTATATTTATATAAAAATCCTGGAGAGCATTGGAGTTCTATTATGATTCTTATATGAATGGCTAAATTATATTTTCTGAATTGGAATCCTTGTTGAACACCTAAAGCCTCTAAGCGTATGACTTATCTGGTG